TTAAGTGAAGTCTACTATAACCAAGTCCATTTCAACATCCATTAAATTGATGAAGGTTGAATATTAAATTAAAGAGGCAAAAAAAATGCTTGAAATGCCAGCTTGGTTCAATAAGAATTTCGTTGTAAATGAAATTTGATTCTTCATTTGTTCCAAACTATAGCTACTAGTTGAATCTGTATCAAGTCTTAATTGCATTTTCGGTATTGAACAGGTATTAATAGTAGCCATTAGTTGCTCAAATTGATGTGAAATTGATATCAAAATGAATGTCCTTTTTCTTTTATCTATGTGCATGAGAAAGAGAGATAGGATTGATTATCGAAGAAGGGAGTTATAACACGTATTGCAATTAATCATGTTTTGGAGATTTTATCATGTCCAATTAGAGAATGAACATAAGCGCATAACTGTCTCGTTGGCATTTTTCACAATGTTTTGTAAGCATTTAGCTGAATATTTTTATCATGCTTGCTTGTTCTGAGGAATGATGAGAGCAGTAATGCTCTATGTGCTACTCAACAGAGTCTTCAAACTTGAAAAGCAAAACAAAGAGAAGGTGTACTTCTCGGAGCCTCTTCTGTAGTGTAATAAACCTTGTGAGGTCATGAGTTGATATATGAATTTCCTCTCAGCATATGAAATCTCAACATATATGATTTCATCTCTCGAAATTGAATATATATTTCTTTTGTTTTATGTTGTGGTACTTGTCTGTTAGGAATGGTACGTCCATTAAAATCTCCCTCCATATGACCACATTAACTTTGGACAGTTGCAATAGTTATGTAGAAATGCATCAATAAATCACATACTTCTCTGTTTTTCTTGCATGTCAACATAAAGGGAGAAAGAATTAGCAGCAGTTAAAATTAATGCAGCCGATGTCGAAATAATTATGAACGAACTAGAGGTTAGCCTTTTACCATTACTGGGTCCTTACTGTGTAGTTGCTTCTGCTTATTCGAAATCTTAATCTTCACCTTTGCCATGTCGACAACAGTTGGACAAGAATGTTGCTGAGAGAGCCCTTCGCGAGCACAAAGGTGATGCTGTTGCTGCCATACGGTACTTGCTGCATTGATGTTCTTTATGACAGACTAAGATTGTTGTCAATTTTCGCCGAGAAGTATTTTTGTAGTGAATCTTTTTCGGAAATATGAATTTGAACATAATAAATTGTTTAATGCTCCCCCCTTAAACTTGTGGAGAAATGCAGATTATAGAAACAAACCTAGTGTTTATAAGGTATTATGAATTTAGTTTCTGCCATTTCTTAGTTTGTCTTTGATGGGTCTCACTTGTGTTTCTGTTTCTTTTTCCCTGACTTCTGTCAACAGCTTTTGTATGCAGACATCAAATGTTTCCTTGCCTATATAAAATTATTGTTTTATAAATATATAAGTACATATTTGTTCACAAAAATATTATTCACAAAAACATGTAACAGTTTCATATGTGTGGAATAATTAAAATGTAAATTAAATTGTTGTTTTAGATAATTCTATGTATAAAATTAAAGCCCTACTGAGTTTCCACCATTATATTAATTTCTAACATAATATAGTAATATTATGTGTGTACATACATATACATATATATATATATATAATTTGGAAGGAGTTAAAATATCACACACTCTATATTTATGACATAGGACTCCAAAACATCAATATTATAATATTAGCTCAATGTCAACGGCATTAATATTATAATCTTAGGTTAGAGACAAAAGACATGTGAATTGTGATGGTGGAGCTGCACAGCAAAGCAAAGGTTCATGCACCATAACTCCACTTTCCAAACAAGCCAAAAAGATCCAAACCCAACAACCATTCTCGTAAACCAAACAAACAAACAAACAGACAAACTTGTTTATATATAAAAGCAAAGATATCAATCTCATAATATTTACTAATTTCAATTTTTTTTTTTTTTTCCTTCTTCTCTGTACAACTTTTTTCCTTGGTGGGTTCTGACATCCTTTTCTTCATAATCCACAAATGGGTGATATGAAATTATATTCTTACCCATATGACTCCAAACCTCAAAATCACAGACCAGTCACATTGGGATTTTTATGTATACATATATATATATATATATATATATATATATATATTTAAAAGAAAAAGACCCTCTCACAACTCCAAATTTCCAACTAACTTATCAACATTGGAAAATTAGGCAAGCAATGCACAAACAAAACATGATGCCAACTACACTATCCTTTCTTTTTTTTTTTTCCTGCCCTCATGCTTTTTGTGGGTGCCAAAGCTAATAATACCACTTGCAATCTCAGTGGCAAAGAGGCAATTGGTGGAAATCTTTGCCCCAAAAAGAGGCCCATATGCCAAGTGAGGGGAACAGAAACCCGAAAGCTACGTGGATCTGAATCGTTTTACCCTTCCTTTTGGGAGTTATCTCCAGTAACTATCGTCGAACGGGCTGCCTGGATCTGAATCGCGTATTGTCTCTGCATGTCTCTAAGCTTTTCGAGAAGTTCTTGGAATGTCGGACGAAACTGTGGATCGCTGGCATTGAAAAGCATAGTGGATTAGTGCTTTAGCCACCATGGCAACATGCCTAACGGTTGGAAATATTATGCTCATAAACAGATAATGAAATCTATATATCCCAGAAAAGACTTGCACCAATTTTATGACAGCAACAAGAATAGGCCTAAAGTTCTTTTTCCCTGGCCGAAGTGAAACCAATCTAAGCCAATGTCAGCTATGGAAGAAAGGCGAAATATCAAAATTACCAAGGGTGTGAATATTGAATAATGTCAAATAGTACTAAGGCAACTACTCATCACGCATGTCTGAGGATAAACGTGGGGCATGTATATCTCAATAATTCCTCAAATAGTATTTTTACGCGAAGCATCCAGAGACATAACATGGAAAATGACCCCTGGCAACTGAATTAGTAGGAGGCTTTTTCCAAAAATGGATGGCTCACATAAAAGTTGATGTTCAGCTCTAGAAAATGAAAAGTTGACAAAGAAAGCTCCAAAAAAGTTCTCACCTGTGCCAGCAGCTCTCAATTATAGAAGCCCACTGTGAATCCACTTCCTTGGGAATTTCTAGCCGCTGGTTCATGAACCCTACAGCCCCAATCACCTGCAAGTATCCTAAAAATATTGTTGTTCAAATATGATTAATGTTTCTTAAAACCACATTGTAGTAACGGAACTTCTACCTTGGAGTGCAGAGCATTTACTTTTTCAAGGAGAATTTAGGTTATGTGTTAATTATTTGTATCCCCTTTGCATGAATAGTTACAATGATATTTCCACTTAAAAGAAATGATGTCATGAATGATCGAGAGGAAGAGTAGACCTGCATTGAATTGAGATTATCCCATGGGATTTTCTCAGTTGCAAGCTCCCATAAAATCACTCCATAGCTATACACATCAGATCTGGTGGCAACAAAGTTGGAACTCAGTGGAAAGGGCAAGCATGGAGATAAAATGGGAAACGTGAGAAGAAAACATGAATGGAAATATCGAAACTCTAGTTTATTTAATTATAGCTCAATCATTAGGCCATACTTCTCATCCGAGGGTTCATTACGAAGAACTTCTGGTGCCATCCATTGAGGCTATAAAACAGGAAGGCAGTGGGTTAAGGTTCAAGAAGATGAATTAACTAAAAAGATAAAAATATTAGGTAACTGCGATATACCGTCCCCTTCCCAGTCTTGGTGGTGAGATATGTTTCGTGCTTGAGACGTGAAAGACCAAAATCACCAACCTGTCCAGATAACAACTAGATTGTTTCTCACATTCACTTGAATTGTCAAAAATTCCTAAAGGAAATGAAGACAGAGAGTAAACCAACAAGGAAACAAAACATAATACGAAAAAAAAAAGCAGACCTTCACAGTCCAATTCTTATCAACTAGCAGATTTGATGACTTCAAATCACGATGGATTATAGGAGGATTGCAATGATGAAGATAATTCACGCCTCGTGCCTGCAAATTTTATAAAGCGACAAACATCAACTTATAGCCAGGATATAATCTGCTTGCCAAGCAAACACATGCCGGGATAGAGATACGTTGGTTAAGACAACAAGTGCACAAATAGACAGGAAGAGATGTGCCCAGCTTACTGAAGACACCAAAAGATAGACAACAGTCGGAACAAAACATAACTGCAAACCAACAAAGACACCACAAGCATGTTACATTTCATTTTCTTGATACTCACTATATCCAAGGCAATATGGATACGCCGTCGCCAATCTAGTTTGGGTGTGTTCCTATGCAGTAACCGAAATAAACTTCCTCTGCATTAAATAAAACACAAATATTAACCATAGTCCATCTAACAAACTTAATCTACCAACAAGCTGGTAACATAAAAATTCTTCAACAAAAAGCTTGAGGCTGAACCGTGGCAGAAACTCTGTGACAATACAGAGATGTTCAGGAGAAGTCACAGCTCCCATAAAGAGCAGAACATTTGGATGTCGAAGTCTTTTCATCAGCAACACCTTCAAATTTTTTAATAAAGCACAGATTGGCATCAGAAATGGATGATAGAAAAAAAAAAAGAGAAAACCACGAGTGCCCAGGAAAATACACACAGAGCATGAAGGATTAGAGCTAGAAATTTCATGCAGCTATGATGAAAAAGGTACTCTAGTATGTTTATTCTTGCTGATGAAAATAGTTTAAGGAATTCCACGTATCAGAAAAACAACTGAACTCAATAATGAGATATTTCACCAGCATGCAATTTGAAGTCAACTAATATTCTACTCTAAGAAGGCGGGAGGGAGG